AAAGACCTTAAGAAAAAAGGAAATTAGAATATATTGTAAGTTAGTGCACATGAATGGTAATGAAATACCTAAGAATAGTGGCGTCAAAATTTTTAAAAAGAAAATTCAAATCAGAGCACTTCAAATGCCTAAAAAGCTAAATTCAGAATATTTAAAATACCTAAAATTTTGAAATTAGATTATAAAAGAGACAAGAGGACTTACTTAGAATACAACAATAAACATAAAAAAACTGACATCATTCCCATATTTATCTTCCATTCACATTTAATTTTAAACATGACTGAGGGAGGTATGGGGATAGTGCGAATTAAAATGTCATAAAACATCTGTTACTAATAACTCTAGCACAGCTGTATTTCTTACTGCAAAAGAGATGATAAAGGTTTTCCCAGATTACCATACTATAAGATCTTCTTCAAAAACCCAGTTTATACCTGAAACTCCACATGTCAAGTCTCAGTAAAAATATAAAGTTGATTATGAGGATAAATGTGTATATGGACATATAAATGTCATCCCTATGAATGCAGAGAACATGTATTAAATAAAAGAAAGATGGCTGAAGAAATAAATGAGAGAAAAATAACTTCTTAAAGGGTGAAAAATCAAGAATCTAATGTTTCATAGCTATAATATAAGTATAGACTTGAACTTGGCTCTTTTTGCTCTTCCCTTTTGGAATTTTTCAATTAATATACACCTAACTGATATACTCTAAAATGTTACTTTTTTTCTCTGCAAATATTACTTATCAGATAGTGTTTTGTTATTTAAATAATATTGTATATTGTCATAGTCTAAAGCAACCCAGTTTCTTAAGGTAACAAGAGCATAACCCACCTCCATCAAGGTTCAAATGTAGACATGCTCTTACCATACCAAAAAAATTTAGGACATTCATGTCCTAAAAATATTCTCTTTTAGGAATACAATTCTCAAAACACTGTCCTATCCAAAGGAAAGGTAATTTCCTATAGCAGCACCTATATAATGGATCACTTTTACTTTTAACTTGGGTTACTACAAAACTTATTTTACTATATGTATATCCATTAATTTTCTTTTAGCAGCTTCATAATTATTTTAACAAGTAGTATATATGGCACGTAGACTTTTAAAATACTTTTAAAAGAAATTTTATTATATTTCTTAATCAGGGAACTTTTCTATTTCAAAATTTTTCTTTCAACACTGAATTTTTATTTTACTTTATATCTCTATTACATGTATTTCTGGAAAAATTAGTGATCAAGCCACAAAGATTAAGAAACCTTTAAACCAGGAGGTCACAGTTAAGATTCCAGATCAGGGCACATGCCAGGGTTGTGGGTTTACCCCCTGCCTCCCAGTAAGGGGTGTGCAGGAGGCAGCCAATCAGTGATTTTCTCTCATTGATGTTTCTTTCTCTCCTTCTCACTTCTTCTATGGAATTAAAAAAAAATTAAGGAAATTTTTCAATCTTAAGTGCTATTTCTATAATTTCATCAAGTCATCTAACCTCTTGCTGCCTTCTGCACACTAATGCATATCTTTTTCCAATATCTGTATGATTTTTCTTCTTTACTGAATTCAATACAGATAGTTAAAAGTAGCTAACAATATAATTTCACATGATATTGCATCTATGTTTATATCTAATCACATGCTTAGAAGTGATTTGTACAGGGAGAAGCAAAAATGGGTAGAAAAACACAACTATGAGAAATAATTATGCTAATGTTTTAAAAATATTCCCAATTTGATATAACTTTTTCACCACATGCTTCAAAGTGACTAAAACTGTAAACATAGTATGGCATTTTCAAAAATACTGGATACTAGAGGAACAAAATAAAGTATGAATCAAGTATTTCATATGCTTTTATAAAGGGTCATGTTAATAAATTATTGATCCTCTCAATTTGTAAGGTACTTTCAGTTTTGCTCCATGCTACAATTTGTATATCATGTCTTTGTAAGCAAGTTCCTCAGTTCATTCAAAAAAGTGAATCACACCTAGTCACTACTAAGGTCTTGGAATTAGGAGACCACCAAAATTAAGAACTATCTGTCAGGAAATGTAAAACTATATTTAAGAACACAAACTAAAAAACAAACAAACAAACAAACAAACAAAAAACTAAATTCCTGAAGTCTTGTGCAATTATTTTTGTGTGAAAGTTGTATTAATATACATTGTTTTAAATAATCCTTTTTATATAAGCACATAGTAATTAACAAACATTAAACTTTATCCATTGCATTTAAATCCTCTAAACAAACTTATATTCCTTAATTTACAATTGGTAAATTTAAAATTATGTATACACTACCTGATTTTAATTAATAAAAGGAGGAAAATATATAATCTAAAAATCACTAACATCTGAGTGACTGCTGCTTAAGGCCTTCATTAGTAGTTGTCTGCCAACCCATACATACTTTAAGTATACCTAAGTTATGGAGAAATAATTATACACTATTATCAATCAATTAATTGCATTTTTTCTTAAAATACCAACCATTAATATAGTTTAATGTCTAAAAATATTTTTTCAGGGCTCTTACTATGAATAAAAATAGTTAAAAATATAGTAAATATGCAAAATAAATATGGGCCAATCATTACATGTTCTTCTTTAAACGTAATAACATAAAACACTTTTTAAAAGCAGTTATATGACTGATCTAAAGTGAGACTAAATTAATAGCCACCTCAATTTCAAGATTTAAAAAGCTCAAATTTTAAAATTGTTTAATTTAAAACATTATTACCTCTTTCTAGTCTCAGTAGATTAGAAAAATGCTTATGCCTAATTTATCCAAGGCTGGCTCAAAAAACAGACTCGGAATTACATGAAAGATCCCTATCAACATAGAGGCCTCATTCAACAGGAGATAAACAGACTTATGGTACTACTACACCAATAAACATTTTTTGTTAGCATCCTCTACTGGTGGTTTCCAAAGACAGCAAGTAGTGCAAATGACAGAAAGATATGTACCTGCTATTCCATCTAAAGTGAATTAATCAGCATGTTGTCATTAGTAGCCAGGGTACATTTCTCCAAAATAAATATATATATATATATATAAGAAAATCACATAGAAAATAGAAGTAGAAAATGAGAAGACAGGTTTTCAAATTACAACAAACAAAACATTACATTATAAATGATAAAAATTGATTTAAGTAATTCTAATCCGACTCCTTTAACATCATTACCATAGAGTTACTATATAAGGTTTGATGCTTTGGCCACACCTTGCTTAATTGGTTTATCCCTGTCAGATAACATTATTGATTCCCCTATTAATATTCTACTCTGAAGATATTCTAGAAAGAAAATTAAAATATTTTACTTAAAGCTCATCATCAGCTTAATATGCATACCTTATTTGAAAATAAACAAAATTATTTATATATAAATAACAGTATGAAGTATCTCTATGACTACCTGCCACTGGATAAGGCATTGATTTCTTCATTTAAAAATAGTTAAGAGTTCGCATTTTCCCAAGCAATTCTTTCCAATAAACAACTGCAACTTAAATGACTGCGTTGTTAAGAAATAACCAGCACCTACCCTGAGATTTCACTATATATACATATAACTTCATTTTGCAAATTTTAAAGCTTAATCATATAGCATGGTGACAGTCGTCAGCAATGAATGAGATGTATTTAAGGACAAAAAAGAAATACAAGGACAGAACCAAAAGTGATGAAAATGGAAGCTACCTATGGTAGTACAGTGCTATCTTAAACACCTTTTGTTTTCTCAGAATAATGCATACTGCAGGCAAGACATTTTGTGCCAAACAGCCCCCAAATTCTGTTTTTCTAACATTAAACACAAAGGAAAAACACTGACAGCAAGCGTGGTAATAAATCCGTCCCCTGAGAATGAAAGTAGCAGGCAGGAGGGGGCTGACATACATGCAGGAGAAAACTAAACACCATCTTTTTTTCTACCTGCACAAGTTGCCATTTGCTGCAGCGACGGAGAACCTCTTTTTTCCTGTTGATTTCAAGTACCTTTCAAAATAGCTTTCCCCCCTTAAGTCATCTGTTGATATGCCTTATGGGTGGTCATATTCATATCACAGACTCCTTGGGAGAAAAATCCATTCTTTCCTGTTCAGGTAAACATGTTTACAGCAGCTGCACCGACGCTGGGTGGTTCAGTCTCACATGTCATACACATGTCGTCAGCAACAAGAAAAAACCCTTTCTATGGCGATGAACATTTTACATAAGATAAAAAGCGAACAGCCCTTTCCGAACCAACTTACCTTTCATAAAGCCACAGCAGCAACAGCTCAATATAGAACGCACACTATTTGACGCTAAAACAGGAAATTAAAATTTCAATAGCCTATGTTTCGCTCTTTGCTGTAACAAGTCATCTCTCTCCACAATATTAGTTCTCAAGCATAGCAGATAGACGCTTTTAAAAAACGTTTATTCGAATAACTAAAATTATTCATGAAAGCGGTTATTTTAATATAGGCTCAAATATATTTTTTAAAATATGTTTACGATTGGAAGGAAACGTCTTGGAACGGCTAAAAAATCTTCGTATCTGCTCCTAGACAGGAAATCCCACACAAAACCTAAAATTGCCTGGAAAGGTTACAAAACCTCGCGTTTCGCATCCGCGAGGGGAGGGAGAAAGGGAGTCTGGGCGCGGGGGTGGGGCGGGAGGGGGAGCGCGAGAGTTTTTCCTTATACACACATTTCCTCGTTTTTTTTGGAAGACACAGTGATCCCAATGCAGGCGCATTTATTTCCCTATTCTTAAAAACTAATTTTTAAAATAAGGCAGGAGCCCGGAGGAGCCCCTCGGCCCTAAATGTGCGCCTAATTCCTTATATAGCCTGGGCCGCAGGGCGGCAGGGCCGTCGCCGCCCATTATTATACAAACAGGTACCCGGCGCGGGCGGGGGCCCCGCGCTCACGCCGCCCCGGCGGACCAGCATCGCCCCTCTCGCCACAGGAACTGTCCAGACAATAACAATCAGCAGACATTTCGCTGCTGAACCGGAGGGAGAGAGAGAGCACAGAATCGCCCCCAAGATAAGCAGAAATACCATCAATTTACAAGGTCTCTCCAAACTGGAAAAAGCAACTGTGCAACAGCCACATGCCACATGTTCGGGTCTCGCTCTCACAGTCTCTCCGTGATTGATTTATCCGTGTATTTATTTTAAACTCTCTCCCCAGACCCAGGCATGTGCGTTTCCCCAGCACAAATCAATACACACTGCAACTGCAGCTGCAGCGGCGGCGCGAGCAGAGGACCCGCGCGCGTCCGTCGGTCCGCCCGCCCCCTCCCCCATCCCCTTCCACCCGCGACCGCGAGCGCCATCCCAGCTCCATTATCGGGCTTCAGCACTCCGAGCGTCTGGCCCAGGTAACAACTTCCCCAAAAACCGAAACAGAAAAAAAGAGAGGCGTCCGCAGAGGGCCCATCCCGGCGCGGGGAGTCTTCCCCGGGGAGAGGGCTCTGCCCGCGGTGCTCCCCGGTCTCTAACCAGGTAACAACTCCACAGACACCGCGGCCCCCGCGCCGCCGGCCCCAGACCGCCCCGCCAGCGCCCCGCAGGACGCGGACCTCACGAGCGGGGCTCGCGGTGGGCGCGGGCGGGAGAGGAGGGGCGTTAAGGACCCGCGCCTCCGCCGCGAACCCCCACTCCCCGAGCGAGCGCGTCGGCAGGTCCCAACTTTGCCGCCGCCGCCGCCGCCCGCGGCGCGCCCCGCCGGCCCCGCGCACACGCGCGCACGGACGACACGCAGCCGGCGGCCGCGTCCCCCGCCGCCCGCGCCGCGGAGCCCGAGCCCCGGTGCGGGCCGGGGCCGCGGCGCGCCGACGCCACTTTGCACGGTCAGGGCCGGACAAGTTAGTTCCCAGCTCCGGGGAACCTCCACGCCCGGAGAAATGCAGCGAAGGCGGTTGCGGGGAGGGGGGGCAGGGAGGCGCGAGGGGCAGAAGAGTGGGGAAAAGTGCGAAAAGAAGCAACAGCCGCTCCACCCGAGACTAGAAAAGTGAACGCCGCGTCCCGGCCGCCTGCCCAGCGCCGGAGATGCAGCGGCGGCGGCGGCTAACGGTCCAGGCAGGCGGCAGCGGCGGCGGGAGCCGCTAGGCGGAGAGAGACCAGGTAAGAGACATAACGGTTCAGGGAGAGCGAGCGGCCGCGGCGCGGCTCCGGCAGCTGAGGGGGGCAGAGAGCACTACTTTCTACTTTCCCACTCCACTTTGCCCGTCCCTGCCCCGGCCGCCCCCATCCCGACTAGCCCCCCTCACCCTCGGGCCGCCCCGGCCGCCCGACTCCCCCTGACTCCGCCGCTCCCCGGTCCCCTCCGCGACTCACCGTTATTGCGTCGCGGGTTAGCCTGCTTTCTGCGCTTACACCTGGGGCCATCCGCCATGATCCTCTCGCTTGAGTCTAAATGCTCGAGTCACCTCCTCCCCCTCCCTCCCCCTTTCCCCTTCCCCCTCCCCCTCCCCCTCCGCCTCCACCCCTCCCCACCGCACCTGGTTTACGACACTCGAGGCTTTACGACATCACCTTCCTTACACCTAGCGCCGCTCGCTCTACGGCCGGAACCTTGTTGCTAGGGAGAGGGCGGTTTGCGGCCGCCGTGGAAACAGCCGCGTTTGAATCGAGGGGCGAGGGAGAATTTACCCTCAGTTGTCACGGGGTCGGGGAGAGGGGCACCGGGAAGCTGCGGGGATGGGGTCCGAGGGCGGCCGGCTGCCGGAGTGAGAGAGGTGGAGTAGGAGGCTCCGCGGCTTTCTGCGGCGGACTGGCCACACCCGCGGGGCGCTCCTGGGTCTGGCTGGCTCTGGGGACCCTGTGCCCTCGGAGTGACTTGGGCAACCTGTCCTCCCTCCTCCTCCTCAAGGCTGGGCCCTGCTCCCACGCAGCGTCTGCGCTCCGGAGCGGGTCCTGTGCGGGGCACCCCGGGGAGTTTCCGGATTAGGGGAAACGCGGGCTTGAGGAACTCATTTGGGAAGCTTGACCTCTGAAGACGGGGACACTGGATGTCACCGGAGAGGCTACCTGACCCCACTGTCCTGACTCTTCCCTTACACGGACGCACGGTCCTTTCCCTCTCCCTCCCCCCTCAGCAAACCGGGATGGGAAGAGACTTCAATTAGAAGTTCAGCTGGATTGAAAGAGAGGCTGCAAGTTCCGCTTGAAAGCCAGCTTGGCGGTAAAGTGGAATGAGTAATACCCACAGGGTCCCTGTCTCACTTCCTCATCAGCAGCTGGCTCACCTGCTGTCACCTTGGCCTGCCCCGCCTGGCTGGCTGACCTGCTTTCTGAGCTCCTCCCAGCTTTCCCCTTGGAGTGGTCTCAGGAGTTGGGGTTCATGGGCATTACAGATTCAGAGTGAAGGTGAAAACGGGCCGCGATTTACCACCTAAATGGGCTTACTGTATTGGTCCTCAATGCAGGAAGCACGACAGAAAGATGAGGTCTTTGAAACAGATTGCTGATTTTATCTCAAGTCCCTGACGTTGTACAAGTTTGGGGGCTTTCTGAAAGGCCACATAGATAACACCACAAATTCCACGGGAAGTCCTCTTAAGTAGTCAGTTAGCTTTTCCCTCCTCTCCATTGAGGAAGTGTTTTGGGAACCAAGTTTGTGGAATAAATGAGCTGAGCTGCATTTCAAATAATATAGTTGTAAATTAACAATATAAGAATTATTGGTAGAGAAAATGGAAAGGTGACATATAGATGATTAGAAATAACATAGCTGCCCAGCACAGTGCTGTCACACAGTAGTGCTCAACAAATTTATGCCTGCAATTTTTGTCATACCTATGGCAGGATTCTTTATTATGTTAAAATAATCTTTTAAACACCCTCCAGAATTTTAGAAGATTCATTAATAATCCCTTCAAACCTTTCAACTGAAATAAATTTACAGCCAAAGTCCATAATTTAAAACTAGAAAGTCTAATCCTGAATATAGGTGAAAATTTTCTCACTCACATTTACTATGGCATTTTGAGAAGTGAATACATTATTTATTGGTGTGTGAAATGAGATTATAAATATACTTTGCTATCCATTATGTCTATATTAATTCTCACCTTCAATGTCAAAACTAGAATTATTATTCTGGATGATCATGTTAAGTACATGCAGTTCTTGCTTTCCTTAACACATTGTTCACTGAAGTTGTGTGTGTCAGAACCAGAACTGAGTCCATGCTTTGCCTGGTTCAAGTGGTAAGTTTCCTATCCTAATTCCTACTTTCCAGTCCAAAAGAAAAAAAAAAATGCTCTCTAAGTTTGGCTCACATCATAATTATTCTTAAACTTAGGAAATAATCACACATACTGTTTGCTTTTTATGAAATGTCTGTCCTGTCCCTCCCTCATAAGTTTCCTTCATTGTTTATCCTCACCTTGAAATCAGACAAAGTGAAAGGACAAATTAAGTAGAAATAATTTTCTCCCTTTAATGCTTACTGGCTTGGGCCAGATGTATTTAACTCCATGCAGAATATACCTCCCCCCCCCCCCCAACTGCTGTTTATGTCTATGCCCTCAGCACCTAGTAGAGTGCCTAGTCAAATAGTAGGTACTCAGTATTTCCTAAATTAATATTGTTCCCCTTTTCTGAATCTGTTCTTAGCTAAAGTAAGGGTTGTTTATCTACCTTCACATTAGTTTTTAGGAGCCATTGAAGAAATGGATGTGAAAGCCATTTACTGTCACATATTCTGGTGTTTTGGGTTTTTTTAAATATATTTTATTGATTTTCCACAAAGAGGAAGGGAGAGGGACAGCGAGCTAGAAACATCGATGAGAAAGAAAAATGGACCAGCTGCCTCCTGTACACCCCCCACTGGGAATGTGCCCACAACCAAGGTACATGCCCTTGACCAGAATTGAACCTGGGACCTTTCAGTCCACAGACCGACTCTATCCACTGAGTCAAACCGGTTTTGGCAAGAGACAATGTTCTTCATTTTAGTTTTCCCATAATCATTTTTCCCAAGTGATTAACTATTCTCATTATGTTTTAAAATATGTATATGAAATATTGGTATCCCAGCTCTTCTAATACAAAATTTTAATTTTGTAAAATTCTGCAATAATTATGTATATTGCAAATTGAATATTTGATTACTATATTTTATTTAGTGTAAATGTTCCCAAATTTATTCAAATCTGGACTGGAAAGTAAATCTCAGAATAAATTGCTCCTTTAAACCTGATGCATATGTGATGGTTCTTACCTCAATTATAATTAAAGAATTGGAAAAATCTTTAAAATAAATTTAGAAAAGGAATACAGTTACTAAAATTCAAGTTTAGTTAAATCAAATATGATGGGGATAGTAAGAGTTTAACATGTATATTGTTGGTTTTTAATAATTTTAGTTCATCATACAATATACAATATATGCTATTTTTACATCCAAAAATGTTAACACTGCTTCTAGTGAGCACTGGGAATATATACCGAAAGAGGCATTCTGCTGAAAATTTTTAAATGTAAGGAGAGAATGTAAATGAGTAGAATATTTTCAATATTGAGTTCTTTTCTATATATTTTTTTCATGAATCCTTTGCACCTACTGTTTGCTTTCCATATTACATGTATAAGTGAGGGTAAAAATTGACAAAATTATTTTAAATTTAAAATATAGGTATCTCACAATTTTCCACATGGAGTCTATGATTTCCATGTACCTAAGTTTCTGAACATATTTGAGAAGTATAACATGTTTCTACAGTCTTCATCAGAATAAAAAATGGATTATTTTCATGGAAGGGTAGAATATTAATTATGTTGATTAAATATGATTTAAATATTAAAGGTTAGAAGGAAAAAGAATAAAATTGAAACCTTGGCCTGCCCCATCATGATAAATAACTAAAAATACACTCAAATACAAAATATGCATGTTTTGTATAAATTACCTATGGGTAATTTAGAATTTAGAATCCCTTAAAGTTGCTCCTCAGTCCTTAGCTCATTAGTGACTCTAGGTATGTGGTTCACATACAGAGCAATGTTCATTTCACTGCCTGCAGTTCCACCAAATTCTACAATGACTGAATCAGGATGGAAACATGACTACAGGATGATGCAGAATCGACAGTTTTCCTTAGGACCTATGAATAAAGCCTCCCAGGAAGGAATAATAGGGACAAATGTTTTCCCCAGACCTTCATGTGATTTTATTATTTCTTCCACCACAAAATGGTATTTCCCTCTCTGTGGAATAAGGCTTCTATTTTTAATATGTGAGTGAAATGGAGTTTCTTAATTGGGGTGCAATATTTCAGAAACATGCAATACAGAGAAATGTTATGTATATACATAGATGTTTGAAGGATGTTGATGAACATCCAAAAATTAAAGTTAATCTTTTCCATAAAATCACAATAAAGATTGCTTTAAAATGCCACTTCCACAGAAGATATATTAATATCAATATTAATATATTAAAATCAAAATGTTAATATTGATATTCTCTATGAACTTGAACATTTTTTCTATACTAA